GTGGTCCAGGCCCTCATTTCCTGCCATCTAGACCAATGATTCCCCATTAGGGGCAGTTTTGCCCCCCAAGAGACATTTGGCAATGTCTGGAGACAGTTTTGTTTGTCACAACTGGGGTGGGGGGAGAGCTGCCGGCACCAGGTGAGCAAAGGCCAAGGATGTGGCCAAGCATCCTATACAAGATAACCCCTATAACAATTATCCAGCCCAAAATGTCGATAGTGCTGAGACTAAGAAACCATGATCTAGACCAGGCGTCCTCAAACTACGGCCCGTGGGCCACATGCGGGTGTTTTTGGTGGTTTGTTTTTTTACTTCAAAATAAGATATGTGCAGTGTGCATAGGAATTTGTTCATAGTTTGTTTTTTAACTATAGTCTGGTCCTCCAATGGTCTGAGGGACAGTGAACTGGCCCCCTGTTTAAAAAGTTTGAGGACCCCTACCTAAACTATTCTACTGGACTTTCCCTCCCTGTCGTTCTCCACTGCCAAACCGATATTCCTAAACCATCAAATTATCCATGATTCCTATGCTCCAAAAGCTCCAGTAGTTCCTCACTGCCTAGAAAACCAAGTCTTTGTTTCTCATCCTAGCATTTAATCCTGTGAGTTTTTGCCCACTTGCATATCTGTTCTGCGGCAGAAATTCTGCTTCTCCCCAGTTTTCATCTGCACTGCCCTCCTCACCACCATCCTTTTTACTGATGTTAACCCCCAAACACATTTAGAGAGAATCCTCCCCACCTCTCTCCTTGGATCCAAATCTTACTCATTCTTTGAAGCCCACACATGCTGCACGCCCCTGTGCACTGAGTCAGTCTGTACCATTCCATTCCCTTGCTCTCTCACCATGAGCTCACCAGTCTTACATCATTGTGCAGCTATTCCGTCTTGCCTCCTCGATAAACTCCTTGAAGGGGTCCATATTGTATTTCTGGTCTACTGATCTCAGTTTCCACAGTATAAAGTATATTGCTGTATTGAGAGTCAAATGAGATAACGAGAATAAAAAGCACCCTGTATAGGGCCTGGTACACAGTTAAGTGCTCAGAAAATGTTAGTGTCATAGTATCTACAGAAGCATACGTTCAGGAGCCCATAGAAGGTGCCGAATAAATTGCTGAAATGTAGTTATGTGCTGGAGAGAGCATGCCATTCAGACTAGCCTGGTATTTGGAACTAACAGCAAAGAAAAACTTCCATCAGAAATCCTACACCAATTAACACGCCTTCATGCTAGACTGAATCCAGGAGCAGTGGGTGTCACATTTTCCCAAAGTGGTGCCTAAGCCAACCTTTCTGCATTTAGCAAGTTAATGAATAGCTTATGAATAACACTTTGCCCACTCTGGCCCAATTTAGAAGGCTGCCAATAGGATGAGATACCAATATGCCACACTCTATGCTTTACTGGGGACCTGGCTGTATTCTTCCTAAGTGCTTCTGCTTTCAGCCACTGGAGAGTCTGATGTCCCTAAAGAAGTCACACAGCAGGATGAGGCTGCAGCAAGAGCCTGGCCTTTCCCCTAACAGAAGAAAGACTTGTCTCAGATCTGTGAGAGAAGAAGTGAGTGGGGGCATGGCATTCTGAGCAGCCCAGGTTTGGCTTCGGGCCAGGCACTGAGTGGCAAACAAGAAGGAACACATTCCGGGAAGGCAAGGAGCCCTGCCAACACGAAGGCGGCCCAGCAAGCAGGGCCCTGCTGGGCGCCAGGTGCTCCTTGGCTCCGTGGAGGTCAGGCACGCAGAGGGATGAACTCAGGTTTCCCTGGATTATCATTTCAGAGGCTTAACCGCCTCCTCCCTCTCGCTCTCAGTGGACAAAGCACATGTAATGGTTACATTTTAAACTTCTCTACTCGAGGGTCCGCTCGTGCTCTCTAAATAAAGGTAAGAGGGGCAAGTGTGTTGTTGCCTTCGGGAAATCACACTTCACAGGAGCCAGCTTTCTGCAATTCTGGGCTCCTCGCGGAGGGCAGGTCAGAGGCAGAGCTGGGATTTCTACACCCTGGAAGCTAAGCTCTCCACCCTTGGCCCTCCGCCCCCGCACGCAGACTCAGCTTGTTCTTCATACCTGCCAGTGCTGCCTCCTGCTGCCAGCCCAGGGCGTCGGGAGAGCCCTCCGGCAGGCTTCCTTCCAGAATCACCGCAGGCCGTTCCCAAGCGGCAGCAGGGGGAGAGGGCAGAGGGGACGGGGTAGAGCCGCCTCTTGGGGAAGGAGCCACACACACTGGCGCGAAGGGCCCGTCGGACTGGTAGGTGCGCTGGACTTAGGAGAGGCCTGAGCCCGTTTTCACCCAGCAAGGGGTGGCGGGGACGCTTCGCTGAGAAACGGGAATGAAGTCTGTTACCCTGTTGGCTCCGGGTCTTCTTGCTGGACTTTGCTGCCACCTAGTGGGTCAGTTGTCATCTTTTCCTCCCCAGGGAGACAGCAGCCTTGGCTTGAGCCTGGGATCTGGCCTGTCCAGTCCTGAGGCCAACTGCAGTCCCTTTGAGAAATTTCTCTGCCCTAGCGCTCCCTGATTCAGCTAGGAGAGGAGCAGCATGGGCCTCAAGACCTCACTCAGGCCGGGCGCGGGGGCTCACGCCTGTAATCCTAGCACTCTGGGCAGCCGAGGCGGGCGGATTGCTCCAGGTCAGGAGTTCAAAACCAGCCTGAGCAAGAGCGAGACCCCGTCTCTACTATAAATAGAAAGAAATTAATTGGCCAACTAATATATATAGAAAAAATTAGCCGGGCATGGTGGCGCATGCCTGTAGTCCCAGCTACTCGAGAGGCTGAGGCAGAAGGATCGCTTGAGCCCAGGAGATTGAGGTTGCTGTGAGCTAGGCTGACGCCATGGCACTCACTCTAGCCTGGGCAACAAAGCGAGACTGTCTCAAAAAAAAAAAAGACCTCACTCAATTTGGTAGGTGTCCTGATGCCATGGCAACCAGATAGGAGGGCCATGGCTGGCTGGCTGGGCACCTGGGAGTGGAGGAGGGGCCATTTCTCATTCCCAGGCCAGGGATGACGTTCTCCCTGACCTCCCCTCAATCCTGAATGCCCTTTTCACTAGTGACCCTGCCCGTCCCGTGACTGTGGTTCTAGCATAATATATTAATGTATTTCCTTCTGTTCCCTCAAATTTAAGGCAGTTATTTCTCCCTTATAAGTTAGCTCATTTCAATTTAAAAATTACAAATATGATTATATGCCTTCTCCATGATGTTGCAGCTATGAACCCAACCCGGGCAATAGTGAGGAGGCATATTTTTTTCTTTTTTCAGACAGAGTCCCACTCTGTTGCCCGGGCTAGAGTGCAGTGGCGTCAGCCTAGCTCACAGCAACCTCAAATTGCTGGGCTCAAGCAATTCTACTGCCTCAGCCTCCCGAGTAGCTGGGAGTACAGGCATGCACCACCATGCCCAGCTAAGTTTTATATATATATATATATATACACATATACACACATACACACATACACACACATATATTTTTTAGTTGTTCAGCTAATTTCTTTCTGTTTTTTTAGTAGAGACAGGGTCTCGCTCTTGCTCAGGCTGGTCTCAAACTCCTAAGCTCAAACGATCCGTCCGCCTCAGCTCCCAGAGTACTTGGATTACAGGTGTGAGCCACCACACCCAGCCCAGTAATTCTATTTTTATTTTTTTTGAGTAACCATCATAGTGTTTTACAAAGTGGTTATACTACTTTACATTTCTACTAATAGTGCACAGGAGTTCCAATTTTTCCATATCCTTGCCAACACTTAGTGTCTTTGATAGTAGCTATCCTTATGAGTGTGAGGTGATATCTTACTGTGGTTTTGATTGACATTTCCCTAATGAACAGTGATGTTGGTCATCCCTTCATTGGTTATTGGCCATTTGTATATCTTCTTTAGAGAAATGTCACTTCAGGTCATTTGGTTGTTTGTTGTTGGGTCATTTGGTTGTTTGTGTCATTTGGTTAGCTGTTGTTGAGCTGACCTCTCCAACTTCTTTTTATGTTACTCTCCCATTTGGTTAGTATCCTAGGATACTGACATGCAGTGTCTCTGTTCCTTAGGGACATATATGCCTTTTCCTACCTTTTACAGTTGCTGATCCCTCTTCCAGGAATGTTCTTTTCCCAGCTGCTCCCATGACTGGCTCCTTATCCTTTAAGAATCAGCTTAATTGTCACTTCAGAAAACTTTCTTGGATCACTTCTTCTAAAGTAATCTCCCTCTTTATCTATATCACTGTTTCTTTCCTTTATGGAACTTAATTGCAATCTGCAATTACCTTGTTTGTTTACATATTTACTTGGAATTTACTTTTACGTGGAATGTAAGTTCAATGCCACTGGGACACAGACATTGCCTGACGTATTCACTGCTATATCTCCAGTTCCTGGCTTAGTACCTGGCATATAGTCTTGACTCAATAATATTTATTGATTGAATGAATCACTACTAAAGGGGGGCAGTGCAGGAAAAAGAAGAAATATGACATGGCCCAAATTGTAATCTTACCTCCATATCTAGGCTCTAAGTCATAGAAAAGGCCACAGGAGTTTTCTGGCTGCGTTATATATGTTAATTCCTGAATCAGAAGCATGGTACTATTTCAGTAGGCACATGGCTTTAGAGTGGCCCAAGAGAAATGGGGAAGCATCCCCAGTGTCCACCCAACAGAGGCAGAAGGCTGTAGAGGTTTACTGGGGCCACCCTCACCCTTCCCCATACACCTGAGATGTAAGCCAGCTCAGCTAAAGTCCTTTGAGATTAGCAGAGTACTTGGGATTCTGGAATGACGTGGGCTCCATCAGTCACCTTGGTGCTGAGTATGTCAGTAAGATTACCTTTAGTGAATACTCAAAGGACAAAAATGAACTTTCCATACCATAGGACACTAGAAAAATCAGGTTTTTTATTTTAAAATATTTTAAAAAGCTAAGGTCATAGTGGAACAACCCAAGGGTGGTTGAACCAAACTTTGAGGAAATTAGAGGAGCATCAGCCAATGCAAGCAGCTCTGTATAAATATACATAGTTTATAAATGGGCACAAAAGAAGGTACAGTGGCCCCAGAGGACCAGGCTGGGGACAAAAGGGAGAGACAGAAGGCTTTCCTGCAAGACAGGCACAGCCACACCACTCAAAGCCCAGGGCCCCAAGCATGCCTCCAAAACCACCTACCCTACAGCATGCTTCTTGCCCTTTCTGAGCCTGAGACATAGCTGAAAACCAGGTTCACCAGCATCTTGGCACATCTATCCATGACTTGGCACCTCTTGTGGCCTCTGGCTCAACCTAGCAAGGCTCAGAGAATGGATTTGTTCACCCCCACCAGGGAGGGGAAGTGCTAGGGCAAGAGGGTTATTTCCCTGAAAATATGATGGAAAATATTGATAAAAAGGGCTGATTCAAAGAAAAAAAAAAAAAAACACTGGATGGATATCCAGCGTGGCACTGTAAGGAGAATGGAACAGTGAGTTTCACCTGAGACATACAGATTTGGTGCAAGCAACACACACAGCCAGACTTTAAGCTTAATCCTAGAAACAGGGATGGGAAGAGGATGAAGAGACCTCCAGTCTGAGCTCAGGGAGTTGTCTCTTCCTGTCAGTCCCTTCAATCCTCAGTTGGGTTTGTAATAAACAGGACAGATAAGCATGGCTCTGCAATAAATAATTTCCACTTGAATTTCTTCCTCTAGTTAACCTCTCAGTGTTTGAAGAGGGGAAAACAGTGGCTATTTCTGACACCACCCACCCCATCACCAATGACTCTCCCTGATACCTCTGGCCTCCTAACTTAAGGCCCTCCTATCTTAGCAGATGGGAGTCCCAGGGAGATCAGACCAGAGTTCTGGGGCACAGGGAAGCTTTTAAGAATAGAGAAGGCCCTGACAGAGAAGGAGGAATCTCTAAGGCAAACTCACCACCATGCCCACCCTTCTCCTCCCCTATCTCTTTTGTCCCCAGAGGTATCAGATGGACCCCATTGGCCTGGTTCCTGCATTACACCAGGCCCACCTTGGACACCACCACCTAATTAATGGAGAATAGACCCCATGAAATGGAGGACCTTCCTCTATGACCTGAAACACACTGACTACAGGTGATGCGAGTGAGCCCTGCCCTGTGGTGGCCCAACACCAACACACCTGGCTGCCCAGCCACCCCTCCCTGACGGGCTGCCCTCGGCCATGCCTAAGAAGCAGGCAGTCAGGCAGGAAGTACACAGCAAGACCTCAAATCAAAGCCCTCCATCCTTCCCATCCCCTACTTCCAGGGCCTGGGACACCTTGAAAATGTCCGGCACACCAGGCAAGACCCAATACCAGGTCTGTGGCCACAGTGATCAAAGGCCCTGCTCCACCTATCCCACTAGAAAATGAGAGCTGAGAACATGGAATTCTAGGACTTCTCCTTCCCAGCCCCTGCCACCATCCCCTGCGGCAGGCAGCATCTTCCCAGGTTCAGCCAGCCTCCCCATGAGGGGCCAGCGCAGAGCCTCAGCCCAGAGCATGAAAATTTGCCTCCCGCTGGAATCCTGGCCACGAGCCCTCCTCTCTGCGTTCACAGCCCTCAGCAGGCGAAGCCCGTGAGAGGAGAGAGCGCCGGGGAGCAGAGCCCACACTGCTGGTTTGTGTTCTGGCCTCTGACCCCACCACTGGAGTGAGCCATGTGACAGAGAGCCATGTTCCAGGTATCAAAGCATGGCTTTGTCCCTTGAGGTGTCCTCCAGTGTTCGGCCTGTGTGCCAGAACTGTTTCCAAGGAGGTTAAATTTTTTCTCATTTAAGTGGTAGTTGAACCTTAGTGTACAGAATTCCTTAGCTGGTTCCAAAAACTCTGGCTTCTTGTTTGAGTCCGAAACTGTAGGAGCCAGTTACCCCATAAACAGTACTTCAGATCACTCATTGAGGGTGGGGGAAGAGTTGGGGAAAAGGGGAGGGATCTGGAATATTTTCCTTCGTACTCAATCTCAGCACAGCAGCAGCATAAACCCAGGAGATCATGGTGGAGACTTAGCACCAGAGAATCTTCTTGGAGAAGGAGTGGGGACAAAGGCCACGTGGCTGTTACCTGCACACAGGAAAGATGCCCAGATCAGGGAAAGCCCAGAAGGCAGAAGACATGGGCAGAAGAGCCAGTGACACCTTTCTCCTCCACGCCCCCACTGAGAGTGGGCCAGGGTGGGATCTGTGTACCCTGCACACACTGTCCAGCCTTGCCAGGGCCATCAAACCAGCTTAAAACAAGTCCAGCCAGCCAGCCTGACCTTAGGTTTTTGGCCCCTGTCCTCAACCCTCAATCCCACAGGCATTAGGAAGAGAAAAGGCCTCACCTGTGCCCAGGGACTGAGACAGCCCAATTCAAGGAGCATAACTGCTGTTCTAGCTGGGAGATGCGGAACGCCAGATAGGATGAGGACATGACCAAGAAGCAGATTCTGGAGAGAGAGGGGCAAGAAAGAGTTGAATATTTTTTCCAGAAAAGGGGCGATTTTGGAGGCTCACCAGAAATAGTGGGGCCTTAAGCTACTCTTGCAATTGGAAGACTTAAAGAACCCTTTGTCCTTCAGCTGTGTTCAGGCCTGGGCATCTTTCTTCCCAGTAGGCCACATGGGGGTCCTGAGACATCCCCACTGAGGTGGTCTTGCAGCCCAGCAGGAGTTCTGGGCCCTTTGTCTGAGCCCTAAGGTGGCAGGCCCATTTCCCCAGCAGGCACTGAGGTTGACAGTCAAAACCCAGCCAGCACAGCCAGAGGAGGCTAATGGGGTAAGGTGAGGGAAAGCTGGCTCTTTGTGGAACTTCCTACCATGCTCAGCACTCCACTGGTCCTTAGACAGAGGTACAGACAAGTCAGGGGTTCCAGAAACTGCTCTGGTGGTGGGCAGTGGGGAGGCCATGCTTTTCCCTAGTCAGTATTTCCTTTCAGCTGATGGCCCTCTCCAATCTTGCCAGCCTCCTCCTTCCCAATCCAGTGGAGCAACTTTTCCTTCTCTCAGCTGTTCCATATCCTGCCCCTCCCCACTGCACAGTCTTAACCCTAAATTACAGGGTGTAATGAATAAAAACGGAGAGACTTTCTCTTGCCACAGAAGGGCATGCCATGTGGCCTTCAGACACCACCCAAGAGCTTGAAATTTGACTCATAACTTTCCCCTGGCTCTAGATAGTGATCTCCCCACATTCCAAAGCCCCTGTTCCAAACACCTAGACATCGGGTGGGTCTGCCCCCGCCCCCAAAGTCACCTACAGCACAAAGAAGACCTTGAAGAGCCGGTAGTCCCAGAGCCTCAGCTCCCTGTCACTCTTGGGCTCCTCTTCCAGCTCGTCCTCCTCACAGACAACATTCTCTGCAACAGGAGCACACTCAGCATGGGGCAGGCACACTTCCCCCCATTTTCTGAAGGTGCTCGGGCTCTTGACTTTTCCATGTGGATTTGGAGAAAGAAAGAATCAGCTCTCAAGAGGCCCTGCTGGCTGTGAGCCTTTTCACTGGGAAAAGAGAAAGTCTGGCCTTTTGAGCAGCTGCCATCGTCAAGCCCCTGAACTCACCAGACCTTGGAGGCTTTCTGGAGGGGAAAATACTGTCCGTGGAGTCCATGGATGCCTGAGGGATACAAGGAATGTTGTCTGGGAGGGACAGGGACCTGGAGGCAGGGCACACTTTTCTCCACTTCATCTCGGGGATGAAGACTTCCTGCAAAAAAGAGAGGAGAAGCTGTCTCGCAGTGGCCCTTGGGATCTCACTTGCCTAAGGGGCCCACACCAGGTTTATCAGAGCTTTCTCCAGACATTACCCACATGAAGGCCTGGCCAGGGATGGAAGCGGGTATGAGAGGCTGGGGGACAGTTGCCATAGCAACCACATGTCTTTCCTATCTGCTCTCTTGGTGTGACTAGCCACCTGGCCAGGAAACAATGTCTCTGAAGGCTGCTAGTATAGAACCACAGTGGGATCTTAGATGTAAGCCAACCCAGGTACACGACCAAGTGCTTGGCACAATGTGTCTTAGATTAGTTACGGCTCCTTCTATTCCAGGCCCTGACCCTGAGCAAGTCACTGACCTTGGCAGGGGGAACTTAGAGTCCCCATCAACAAAAATGGGAACATCACCTTCTATTCCCCGCATGGTATCATGCATATTGCATGCTTGGCTAAATGCTTAATTGTTACCAAAGGAGACTTCAAACAACCTGGGGTCATTTCTACCTCTATCCCTGCCCTAGAAACTCAGCTCTGCCTACCCGGGCCCCACCTGCCAAAAGAAACTGCTGAGACCTCAGCCAACCCAAAATAAGTTTGTCTGGGTTCAGTGATAGCCTTTGGAGTTCTTTCCCGGAGATATCTCTATCCTCTTGAAGGCCCTCCTGACTCAGCCAAAGGAGACAGGCTGGATTATTGGCCCTGTGTCCATACAGGCGTGGGACCCAACCTGGCCAGTGTTCTGGGGGCTGGACTTTTGTTCTCAAGTTGGCAAATCTGCCAAGGCTCTGCATGGTCGGGCGTGACAGGTTTAGGGGGGCCCCAGCACAGCATGGCCACTGGCTCTTGAGCCTGGTGCCCCAGTTCTGCATTGTGGGCCCCTCCTGGGAGGCCCTGGCACCTCACAGCTACAGGCACTCTCAGGCCAGTAGTCTTTGCTCCCAGCCTCAGCTCTCACCAGAGACTTGCATGCTGCTTCCTCCGGAAATTCTCTTACACTCAGACTCTTCTTGCTGGAAGGCTGAGGAGGAAAGGGAACAAGGATCACTTGTCCATCTGGAACTGGCAAAGTCAGGTGTGGGAAGCATTAGCACTCTCCAAGATAGCTCTACCTCCAAATAAGCCAGTTTGGGTTGGGGAAGCCCAGCTCCCAGTGTTTGCAGGGGGTTCCCATTAACGCTGGAGCAGAGGGCAGATTGCAGGCGCCTGACTCTCCCGTGCTGCTGCCCCTCTACAAGGGCATGTAGATCCACACATGGTCCCCGACTAAAATGGTTCAGCTTGGGCTGTTTCGACTTCACCATGGTGCGAAAGCAATACATATTCAGAAGAAACTGTACTTCAAATACCCATACAACTATTGTTTTTCATTTTCAGTGCAGTATTCAACAAATTACATGAGATATTCAATAATTTACAATAAAATAGGCTTTGTATTATATGATTTTGCCCAATTGTAGGCTAATGTGTATATCCTGAGCATGTTTAAGGTAGGCTAAGCTAGGTTAGGCACACCATATTAAATGCATTTTCAACTGATGATACTTTCAACTTATGATGGGCTTATCAAGATATAACTCCATCGCAAGTCAAGGAGCATCTGTTCACGTGGACACACAAGGGCCCACTGGCCTCAGAAAGACATGCTCACAAGCAGTGCCTCCGGGACGTTGAGCCTAAGCCTTTCACTCCCCGGCCCCTGCCCCTGCTCCCTGTGCTAGAGAGATGGGCCGCCCTCCCCCTGACCCCGTCCCAAGCCCTGAGTCCAGGCCTGAGCAGCCTCCCTGGCCCAGCTCCCACTCCTGAGCTCCATACCTGGAGGTGGGTGCAGACTCTCCTCAGCATGTCATATACACTGTCCCGGGAGAGCAGTGACACAAAGACATACTGGGACATGGAAAAAAAAACAGAAAGGGTGGCGGGAGATGAGACCCCTTACTGTGCCAGCAGCCCCCCTCCATGAATTGGGGACAGGCCCGTGGGGATTTTCAGCCAACAAGACCCTGCCTAGGAACCTCTCTTCCAGCTTGTTACATGTCCTAAAATATTTGCTGGAGAGCTGCAGGGTGGAGCAAAGTAAAGACCTGGGAGAGTGCTCCAATCAGGTTGGGACCTCCTGGGGATGGGATGGGGAGACTGACAAGGGAGCGCTGGCCCAGAGACTCACGGACCTTCTGGCTGGTGTTGGTGGTGATGGCCAGTCCATTGGGAAGGAGCCGTGCCATCTTGTGTTTTTTGATCATTTGTACAGACACCACGGGAATGACCACCTGAGAGGGAGAAGCATGCTTCTCTCAGGACTCACCCCCCAAGTCCCTTTGTTCCCTCCATAGGACCCCAGCCATAGCTGGCTATGAGCCAAGCATGGACACCATGAAGAGGCCTGGCTCCACCTGGGGAAGTGTCTGAATCATCTACCTTCTCATCTAGCTTCCCCTCACCCCTCTGCCCCAGCCTTGACAGTCCATGCCACTCTGGGCTCTCCTAGGTATGATCCCTGTTATCCAGGAGGCCAAGGACGCTTGCTTTGCAGAATCTCACTCTAGTAATGCAATTCCCTGAGCTACTTCTTGGCCACAGTTGTGGCTCCCCCTAAATACATATCCTTCCCTGATTCCGAAGGCATTTCTGAGATACCCAGAGGCAGCATAATTTGGCTGTGAACCAGCTCAGGCCAGATATGGGGTCTAGATGGGGGCCCCTGTTTTAGAAGGGGCAGCGCTACTTCCCTGGACACTGGATGGGATGCCTCGAAGCTGCTTGTCCAACCAGTGAGAGGCTCCACCAAGGGCCCCGCATGCGGAGGGACGGGCATGGCTTGAGGCATGCCCACAGGGCTGGGGCTGGGGCTGGGCCTCACCGGGCCATGGTGGCCCTTCCCCCTCATTACTACCTTGATATCCTTGCCAAAGAGGCCGGCATGGAAGCAGAGCCAGTTGGGGGAGATGTAGAGCCGACCCTGGAGAAGGAGATCCCTCTGGAGGGCACAGGAGCACACTGGGAAGTCACAGAAGAGAAGATGTACCATAAGCAAAATCAGCCGGGAGCTCAGGGCTTGGGTCCTCACACTCAGGGATCCAGAGTCCAGCCTGAGGGCCTGTCTTCCTCCCCCTTCCCCATCTGAGGCCCCAAACAACCCATCCCCTCAGCACTCTAAGGGTTCTTTTCCTGACGCCCCTCCTCCCTACCACACTGCTAGATGCTGCTGCTTTCTCCACCTGCGCCCCGCAGGGGCCAGCAGGCAGGTTCCTGCCCTGGTCTCCATGCCTAGATTCACATGACCTCAGGCAAAAGCCCTCGCCTCACTCTGCTCTGCCTTTTTTTTTTTTTTTGAGACAGAGTCTAGCTCTGTTGCCCAGGCTAGAGTGAGTGCCGTGGCGTCAGCCTCGCTCACAGCAATCTCAATCTCCTGGGCTCAAGCAATCCTTCTGCCTCAGCCTCCCGAGTAGCTGGGACTACAGGCATGCACCACCATGCCCGGCTAATTTTTTCTATACATATTTTTAGTTGCCTGGCTTTTTTTTTTTTTTTTTTAGTAGAGATGGGGTCTCACTCTTGCTCAGGCTGGTCTCGAACTTCTGACCTCAAGCAATCCTCCCACGCCTTGGCCTGAGTGCTAGGATTATAGGCGTGAGCCACCATGCCCAACCTCTGCCCTGCCTTGAGTGTGCAAAAGCCCTCACATGCTCAGTGAGAAGCCTGAGCAGGGAAGAACAGTCACTGATAAGAGCAGAGCCAAAATAATTTGGAAGCTCTGCCATGTCCTCAAGAAAACCTTTACAAATCCAACTTCATATTCCAAACCAGCCCAGTCTTACCCCACTTTTGGAGAAAAAACGACTAACTACATCCAAAGATCGGCCAGTTCCCATATCTAAATTGTGCCTTGGAGGCTTCAGAGTAGAGGACCTGACCCAAGGCCCCTGAGCGTGTCCAGCTACACCAGGGAGACAGCTCACCTTTGAGAACCACCTCCTCCAAAGGGATGTCCTTAAACAGCTTGTGGTATTGCTGGTTGTATTTACTCAGTAGTGTCTGCAAACACACGGGCTGGGTCTGAGAAGCCCTGAGAGATCAGACCACCAAAAGGGCCCTGCTCCAGCCAGCAGGAAACAATGCCACAGCCCCCTCTCCTGGGAACTTAGCACCAAACAGTAAACAGCCAGTGGGTGTGGAGGGCTGAGTTCCAAGCACAGCTTGTCTCCTGGCGATGCCGGGTCCTGACAGGTAGCCTGTGACGGGAAGGGATACACCACTCCCACCCAGGAGAGGACACCCACTCAGGTCTCCCGGTTTCCTGGTGACAGGCCTGGTGGCCAGGGAGCCACTGAATTCAGGCAGCCCAGGGCCCCCTCCCTGAAGTCAGCCTCCCCACACTTACCCCTTCTCGGCTGCACTTCTTTATCTCTTCACCCTTCAAGCTTTCTGGCCAGTGCAGACTGCAAAGGAGACATTCCATTCCAGGGACAAGGAACCCTTGAGTCCTGCCCATGCGTCCTCAGTGCCAGTTCTGCCCTGGCCTTGAGCCAGAGCTGGGGAGAGACTGGAGACTAGGGCCCTTCTCTAGGGCGCACAGCAAGCGACAAGTACAGCGAGCACATAGCTCATCCCTGAGGAAGGACACTCCTGGATGCAGGGTGGGGTCGCTGAGAGCCCTCCTTCCCAGATGGGGGTGAGCAGCATGCCCCTAGGACGTATGCTCACTCTCCCGGAGATGCTTAGGAGCCGCCCACCCCTGTGTGTCAAGACCCTCTTCCATGTTTTGGCCGAGGGGTAAGTAGAGGAGCGGGCAGCGCAGGAATAGGGACGAGTCTGGGCAGAGGGAGAGATGCAGTTGTCAGACTCACAGGTCCAGGGCCTGGCCACTGGCCATGCTCCCAGCAGGACTGTCCTCCTTGCAGCCTCCTCCCTGTGTCCTCTGCAGTGAGGAGCTCAGCACAGACTCACCTGACCTGAGGGAGGCCACCACGCTGGGGAAGGGGCGTGGCACTGAAATGCAAACCTTTGCCCTGGCAAAGGACAGGTGAGCAGGGAGGAGGCTGGTAACCTGAGAAGCCTGGACTCTGCTAGATCCCAGTGCACCAGGACAGGCCTGAGAGGCAGGAGGAAGGGGCCCCAGGCAAAGGGTCCCCTTTGACTCAGCTGCAAGGTCCCCTTTCTAACATGTCACCTCCTGAGGCCTTCCCACCCCACAATCTGTATGTACATCTGACTGGGAAGGGGTCCTCACCTGTAGTCCAGGGGCTCCTGAGCACTGTCGGTGTCCTCTGTGCAGGACACAGGGCTCTTCAGAGAAGCTGTCTTTCCAGACATTTGCTGGTTGCTAGGGAGAAACGGGCACATCAGGAAGGGCACTTTGTAAGGACATCTTTCCCCACCAGCCCCACCATACGCAGGGCACTGCCTCTGTCCCCCACCCAAGACAGGCTCTGATACTCAGGCTGAAGACGTCACATTCGGGAGGGAGGGGTTCTGGGCCGGCCGACGTGGGGGGGAGTCTCACACAGTCTTCCCTGAAAGCCTGAAGTGCAGTTATGCCTGGGCTGGGAGGAAAATCAATCTGTCTGACTTATCCGGAGCGCCAGGCAGCTGTTAGGCCGGGTGGAGGGAGGCCTCCAGCTCCACCCTGGAGGAGGCACGTCAGCAGAGGCGACTCTAAGACTTGCTCACACCTCAAAGCAGACTTCGGAGTACCCGGGCAGAGTTACTATAAACTGTCAGGTTCTGGGAAAGGACACCAAGCGCAGAAGGCCTTATCAAAGCCGAACAGCTGATGCAGCTGAAGATGTGGGAGGCGGAGTCCAGTCAGCCTACAGGTGAGTGTGGCCCGGAGGGAGGAGCTGCCCCGCACCAGGACGTGGCCTTGGACAGAGTCAGGAGAGCTCAGTCATGAGAACCAAACCATCTCAAAATGTCCCGGAGAGGGGACCCAGAAGGGAGGAGATTTTCTCTCCCTGGGCAGGTAGGGCTCCCCAACAGCCTTCAGTTCCTGCCTCCACCAAATAGTTCCAAAGAACAGAGTGTCCCTGTCCATGCTTCTCCAGGCTTGGAACCAATAAAGCCCGAGCAGTTAAAGTAGCCCTAACTGAGCAGGCCCAGGGACTGACCAAGGATCACAGGCTTCGCCGGGTGCAGTGGCTCAGGCTGTAATCCTAGGACTCTGGGAGGCCAAGGAGGGAGGATTACTTGAGGTCAGGAGTTCAAGACCAACCTGAACAAGAGTGAGACCCTGTCTGTACTAAAAATAGAAAAAAATTAGCTGGGCATGGTAACATGCACCTGTAGTCCCAGCTACTCCGGAGGCTGAGGCAGGAGGATCGCCTGAGCCCAGGAGTCTGAGGTTGCTGTAAGCGAGGCTGACACCACAGCACTCTAGCCCAGGAAACAGAGTGAGCCTCTGTCTCAGGAAAAAAAAAAAAAAAAGGATGAGCGGGTGGCCAAGAAGCAGGGACAAGCCAGGGCAGCAAAGTGGTCAGGAAGAGGTAACAAGGTCAAGTGCAGTGGTCCCTCAGGCACTAAGGAGCTGAGATCTGGACCCTATAAATCGCAACGTTCAGTCACACGCTTCTTTTTTTTTTTTTTTTTTTTTGAGACAGGGTCTCACTTTGTTGCCTGGGCTAGAGTACGGTTGTGTCATCATAGCTCACTGCAACCTCCAACTCCTGGGTTTAAGCGGTCCTCCTGCCATAGCCTCTCGCATAACTGGGACCACAGGTGCTGATTTTTCTATTTTTTGTAAAGATGGGGGTCTCCTTCTTGTTCAGGCTGGTCTCGAACTCCTGGACTCAAGCAATCCTCCTGCCTTGGCCTCCCAAAATTCTAGTCCCAGCCTAATCATACTCTTCTTCAAGAACAGAGTTATCAACTTCTCAGTCCAAGATCCTGCCAGGACCCTCAGAGAATTATCTGACCCCCTCCCAGCATACCATTGAACAAATTAGGAAACTGAGTCCTGCCGAGAGACAGGCTGTGCCCAGTGTTACAGTGAAGAGCCAGGTGACCTCACCCACAAAATCAGCCCAGCCAGTTTTATGGCCTGGTGACCTCCATCTCAATCTTATAGAGGGTTTTGGCACACATATCAATACATTCTCACTGAATCTTATGAAGTGACAGATCGTGCTAGTAATTTGACTCTCAGAGTTAATTTTTGGATTGGTTTGGTTCCATCATTTCACATTTCACAGGGTTCCCCACTTCACATCCCAAAGTGCTAGGATTACAGGCATGAGCCACCACCCCTGGCCAGAATCTTTCTTCATTTGTACAATTTCTTTATTGAGAATATGAATCCTTAGCTTATGATTTTTACAAATATTTCCCCCAATTTGTCATTTGTCTTTTTTTTTTTTTTTTTGAGACAGAGTCTGGCTCTGTTGCCCAGGCTAGTGTGCCGTGGTGTCAGCCTAGCTCACAGCAACCTCAAACTCCTGGACTCAGGTGATCTTCCTGCCCCAGCCTCCTGAGTAGCTGGGACTACAGGCATGTGCCACCATGCCCAGCTGATTTTTTCTATATATTTAAATATATATTTAGTTGTCCAGATAATTTCTTTCTATTTTTAGTAGAGATGGGGGTCTCACTCTTGCTCAGGCTGGTCTCGAACTCCTGACCTTGAGTGACCCACCCGCCTCACCTCGGCCTCCCAGAGTGCTAGGATTATAGGTGTGAGCTACCACGCCCAACCTATCATTTGTCTTTTAATTTTGTCTGTGGTATCTTTGCTGTACTTGTGTTTAATTATTATGTAGTAGATTCCATCTATCTCTTCCATCTATCTGGTTCTCACTTGGTTTGAGTCCTTCTGTAGGATAGTCCCCTAAGGAGTAGCATATATAGGCCAAATCATCGAGCCATTATAGAGCTTGAGCCTTGCAGTCCTGTGAATCCATTGGGCCACCAGGGAAAAGCATGTGGGCTCAGCTCCAAAGAATATCCGCTCCAGCCAGAAGGATGGACAAGAGATAAAATGGAGAAACAATGAGAAGGAGCTTGAATCGTAGTTTCAGAGACAAGGAGCCTGTTCCTTCGAGTCCTCTGGGCTGCAGGAGCAGAGACACACAGATCCCTGGGGACCGAAGCAATCACTGCAGACTTCCTAGAGAAAAGGAAGTTGAGCCTTACAAACTGGGTAGGATTATAATCTTGCATGGATTATAGAATCCTGTGTGAATAATCATGTCTTTGCATGGATTCTAAACCAAACACATCCTTAGGTCCGAATGTGACTTTCTCAGGGACAGAAGCTTCCCTTGGCTTCCCCCAGCCTCGGTGAGCAGTCCCTACTTCAAGCACCCACAGCACCCTAATCGGAAGTGTCCCTCTCATCACACTGTTGGCATGCCGGGCTGTCCATCTCCAGGGGCTCTAGGAGGTCAGGGACTCTGCCCTGCCTGTCACTGAACCCTGAGCCCGGTGCTGCCCAGCGAGCAGGCACTGGAGTGTTTGAGGAACAAGTATTGCTCACGGTGAGGGCAGGTGAGGGCAGGACGGCTGTGTGCATTTCCTGCAGCATCTACATAAAGAAAACCTCTCCTGTGATAACGCTGTTGGCCCAGAGACCCAGCCTGCAGCCAAAATGAGTAAACCAGCACTGCTCTCAAAGTCATCTTCAATTCAGACTTTCTCCTAGTTAGTCTTGTCTTCTCCCTACAGTGTTTGTTTAAATGAATGAAAATAAAGAAATGGGAATTATGCCACATGAAAAAGTCCAGGAAAGTGGTTGTTGAGTGTTCCCCAGCAAAACCAGTCAGGCAGCACCCCCTCCCACCAACTGACCCAGGGGACCAAGAGGGAGGGTTCAACAGCAGGGGGCTCAGCCTGGTTCCCCCACTCTGTGGTGGCCTCTGTCCATTCCCACCCACAGACTTCTAATCTAGCTAGTTTGCTCACGCCCTGTGGGTGTGAACCACCCTCCCACTCATCCGGAGTCAATCAATAGCAAGGTCCTGAAATCTGTATCTATTTTTTTCAATCAAAGCCATAAAAAATATAATTACCATCATGAGGGGGAGGAAACAGGGGAGTGGCAGTATTTTTTTTTTTTTGAGACAGACTCACTCTGTTGCTGGGGCTAGAGTGCTGTGGCATCAGCCTCACTCATAACAACCTCAAACTCCCAGGCTCAAGCAATCCTTCTGCCTCAGCCTCCCAAGTAGCTGGGACTACAGGCATGCGCCACCATGCCCGGCTAATTTTTTCTATATATATTAGTTGTCCAGATAATTTCTTTCTATTTTTAGTAGAAACAGGGTCTCACTCTTGCTCAGGCTGGTCTCGAACTCCTGACCTCGAGCGAACCTCCTGCCTCGGCCTCCCAGAGTGCTAGGATTATAGGCATGAGCCACCGAGCCAGGCCAGGCAGTATTTGTGATATTAAAGGGAGCATGAAAGATTGGAAAACACCCTAGATGAGGCCCTTTTCCCCTGCTGACCTAGTCTGAAGGCCTATCCCGAGGGCACAGCAGGCGTCTGCTGCTCCCAAGCCCGTGTCCAAAGAAATCCTCACTGAGCTTAGCACAGCATGCGCCTGAGGGCTGCCAGCCCAGGGAGGCGCCAGGAGAGGGGAGACAGACAGGCCAGGAGAGGAAAAGGCAGTGAGTAGGGAGCCCGGAGATGCAAGAGTCTAGCTACTTCCCACAGCCTCAAAATAACCCCACCAGGCGGATGTTCCCAAATCCACATCTCTATCCAACCTGACACCTCGTGCCTACCTGAGCTTCAGACCCTGCCGTCAAAGTGACTTAGCATCATCCCCCCAAAGCTGCTTCCTCTGAGCACCCACTCATGGGAGAACAGGCCCATGAAAGGCCCTATTCTCCTCAGTTACCCAAGCCAGAGTCTTCAACTCATTCTTCTCCCCACCCCACAACCAGTCAAGCCCCAAGCCCTCCACCCCCGAGGATAACCCATGAAACCACCTATTTTCTCTGTTCCTACTACACCGCGCGAGTGCAGGCCACCATCAGCTCTTTCCTGGATGCTGGCAATAGCTCCCTGACTACACCTGCCCCAGCCTTGCCCAAGCGCACATGCCCCGTTCTCACTGCACACCGCCAGCAGGGCCACCCAGAGCCGCTCCTGCGCTCTCCTACTCACCTTCCTTCTTTAGCCCCCAACGGTTCCTCACCCGAACCCTCCTGCTTCTCTTTCCAGGCTCACCCAGCACTCCCTCCCCTGCAGCACAGCCAGCTGCCTCAGCTTCCTTGCATACCTGCACGCCTCACTGGCTTGCCTGGAATCCTTCCCATGCTACCTGGGCAGCTCCTGGTCATCTTACAAGCCCCAGTTCAAATGTCACCTCCTCTGTGAAGCCTTCCCCATGCTGCCCCTGCACTTACCATGCCAGACTCTGCCTGTTTACACTTCTGTCTCCCCTCATTGACTCTGAACTCCAGCCGGGCGTGTCTTGTACATCTCTGAGGCCCCAGCACACAGCCTGTTTGCTAAATGAATGAAGGAAGGAAGGAGAGACAGAAAGAGAGATGATGACATCGCAAAAGGCAGGAGAGAAAAAAGCCAGGCAGTAAGAGTGAAGGGCCACAGTGAATGACTGACACCTGGCAGGAAAGCAGGAGGGAAAGGACAGGACTGAGGGGTCAGCCCCAGCTGGACCCGTCCCTGCAGGCGCTCTGGCCTGCACCACAGGCGCTCAGTTCGTGCTGGTTCACTGATCAAAGGGGGAACTCAGGTGGCAGGCAGAACGTAGAAGAGGATAAAGTGCCCGGATGGGATGGGGCATTTGAGGGAAGCACAGGCTGGCCCTCCTGTTCCCCTGAAGGGTCCCCTGGGCCGCACTGCCCCGGGCTGGCCATGCCCAGGCAACACTCCCCCAGCTTACCCGGCCCTGTCCCCACACCCATCCCTGCCTAACCACAGGGCAAACCTCCCTCCAGGGCTCAGCCAAGCCTCTGGTGGTAGCAGTGCTTCAGCCAGACCCAGTGGCCTGAGCCAGCAGCGTCTGTCCCCTTGGGCATCTGCTCCCCAGAAAAGCAACCACACTCTCCTAAGTTGGCTTTTGTGGACCTGCCAGCTCTTCTCAAGGCCAGGCCAGGGACAGCTCCTCCCTCTGGTGCAGCCAGCAGGACACTAGGCCCCAGTGAGCTCCAAGGAAAGACCTGAAACAACACTGTTTTACAAACAAAAATCACATCATAGCAGTGGGCCCCTGAGGGCACAAACCCAGAAACCACAGAAACAGCCATCCAGGGACAGGAAATTGTGTGGACATCTGACCTGGATGGAAATTCAAACACTGGGGTTCAGCAGCCTGGTCGGGGGCTCCTCCTGCCCGGTAGCTGCTCCAAACCACCCAGGTACCCCACCCCTTCCTCACCTCTCCCTCGGCACCAGCTCAGCTCCTACTCCATGGAGAAAACACACCCTCCTATTAACTCTAATGTGTGAAAGAAAAAAAAAGAAATGATACCTGAGCTCTGTCTCAGACCAGTAAAATCAGAATCTCTGAAAGTAGCATTTAAGTAACTAAATATTTCTTAAGCTGTCATTGAAGCATACTTTAAATATAGAAAAGTGCACGTAACATAACTGTACAATTTAATGTATTTCACGAATGGACACATACCTGGGAACCAGCCACCCAGAAGCCCCTCCCGCTCCTGCTGGTTTCTCTGCTCCCCCCAAGGATAACCATCACCCTGACTTCCAACAACATGGATTGCCTTGGCTTCTTTTGCGCTTTATATGAATGAAATTATATTACATCTACTCTTATGTGGCTGCTTTTCCTTGGCAATGCTTTTGAAAGAATCATCCACCGAACTGCATGCAACTGTGAGCTATGCATTTTCACTAGTTCTTAGAATTTCTTTGTATGGATATACTTTAATTTATTCATTTTATTATTGATAGGCATTTGGGCAGTTTCCAGTTTTTGCTGATTGTGAAATTGCTATGAAAATTCTATTACCAGTCCTGTGCACACAAGTATTCACTTCTGTGAGTAAACACTTAGGACTGGAATTGTTGGGTCATAAGGTAGGTGTATGTTCAGCTTCAGGCTTTTAAAGGCTCTCAGGTGATTTTAAACCCACAGCCAATGTTAAGAAATCACTGGAAGAATCCTGTCCCCACTCCTCCTTTCTCTGTGGAGCAGAGAGAGAAAGAACTATGCCTCCTCCTCCAAGGCCAATGCACCTGCCTGGGCTCTGGACCTGGGATCCTCAGCCTCCTGAGCCTTCACCCTGCCCCTCCTGAGCTTCAGGAATGTTCCTGCAAAGGCAGGGAATCCCATCATTTTTTCTTTTCTTTTTGTTTCGAGACAGGGTCTCACTCTGTCTCCCAGGCTACAGTGCAGTGGTGTCATCATAGCTCACAGCAACCTCAAACTCCTTGGTTCCAGCGATCCTCCTGCCTCAGCCTCCTGAGTAGCTGGGACTTACAGGCACCCACCACCACGCCCAGCTAATTTTTCTATTGTTTGTAGAGAAGGGATCTTGCTCTTGCTCAGACTAGTTTTGAACTCCTAAGCTCAAGCGATCCTCCTGCCTCAGCCTCCCAAAGTGCTAGGATTATAGGCGTGAGCCACCGCGCCCGTTGTTAATACAGATTTCCTTCATCTGTAAGGCCATACAGCCCATTTCCCAGGTTGTGCCAAGGAAGTAACAAGATCAGCTTTCCCACGTGGCAGTGGCCCCTCCGAACCAGTGTCCTTCCCGAGAGCCTCCCCATGTTCTCTCGGGGCCGCAGTCCCAACAGCCTAGAAACCGAGTGACAGACCTCTCCTGAGTGCAAACACGGACAATGTGGATAGAGTCAGGCTCATCCTCAACAAGCTAAAACCTTTTTTTTTTTTAGAGACAGGGTGTCCCTCTGTCACCCAGGCTGGAGTGTAGTGGCACAATCACAGCTTGATGCAGCCTCAAACTCCTAAGCTCAAGTGATCCTTCAGCTTCAGCCTCCCAAGTAGCTGGGACTACAGGCACATGTCACCATGCCTGGCTAATTTTTTAAAAATTTTTGTAGAGATGGGGAGTCTCACTGTTTCCCAAGCTGGCCTCAAGTGATTCCCCTGCCTTGGCCTTCTGAAGTGCTGGGATTATAGGTGTGAGCCACCACGCTGAACTAACATGCCAAAACTTGAAGATAAAAGGTAATTTCCTTCCTTCTTTTGCAAAAATAATTCTATTATTGCTGTCTTGCACTTTTGCTGATGCTGCACCTCATTTTTAATTTTTTTCTTTTTTCACTTTTTAGTTTCTAAGTTGGCATTCTATCTATGATAACTACTTTGTCCTTTCCATTGACCTCTAGAAAAGGGGAGAAAATCCTATCAGTACAATGAGTTCCAGATTGAGCATGAAGGGCTCAGTGAGTTGGGGGCCAGCAGGGCGGGGCGGGCGCCCGCACAGCCACAGTGCCTGCTTCCCAGGACAGGCTCAGAGAACACCGCACAGCCACAGTGCCTGCTTCCCAGGACAGGCTCAGAGAACACCGCACAGCCACAGTGCCTGCTTCCCAGGACAGGCTCAGAGAACACCTTGGCCGGCACCGGGCTTACTTTCCTTTCACCCCCTGTAGCAGCTTTGCGATGAAGAGGCATGTGGAGTGCCAGGGGCCCTTCTTCCCAAGGCCTACTAAGTGGCCCTGGCCACAGCTGGCGGAACCCTGGCGTGCTTGGGACACAAGCAGAGCCCTCTGCAAGCTCACCAAGCAGCCTCTTCAGACTGCAAAGATGAGCTGGTCCGTCAGCTTCCCTTTCTAATGAATCCTGACTGGGAAATCCGAGAAGACGTGGAGGAGTGGAGCCAGGAGTGGTGGGGCAGGAGAGAGCATGGCAGGGTACGAGCTGCAGGCACGCTGGAGCAGAGCCTTTGGGGCACCAGAGACTGGCCCTAGAATGAAGGATGAGGGAGCAGAGTGCAGAGAGAAGCAGGGGTCATGGGCCAGGCCCCCAGTCTGGGAGGTAGCAAAGAGGGTCTGTTCCCCTTGGAGGCCCGCTAACTTCCAGTGCCCTAGCCCTTGTAGCCAGACAAGAAACCTCCATGCCTGGTTTGCCCAAAGATCACAAACCAGGGCACACAAGTGATGTCACTTAGACCATTAACCTGAGGCAGGTGGTGCTACCTCCATTTCACGGGTGGAGAATGGAGGCTCAGCTGCCCATACACAGTCACTGGCAGCGCCAGGACTCCATGGAGGTCTGTCTGACACCCAAGCCTGGTTGTAGCCATCCCCCCAGGAAGCCTTAAGGGCCTGGATGAAGAGAAGACTCTGGAGAATGTTCAAACCAAGTCAAGCCCCTGGAGCCCAAGTCAAGCTCCTTCTTGGGGTGGCCCCTGGGGAGAAGGGAGGTGACGAGATCTGGCTCATGATTCCTCTAATCCCCAGTTCAGCTCTTGTTCTACAAAAGAGATGGCATCATCCCATTATACAGATGAAGAAGCTGAGTCCCAGAGGCAAAGCACCTTGCTCCTGACCATACAACTGGAAAGTGGTAGAGTTCTAATTGATAGCCCAGTCCGGCAGGAACGTGTACTCTTTCCACTGTAGCACACTGCCTGCAGGGCTGCAGGGCTCGGAAATTCCGCCCATTCTGTAGCTTTGCCTGCTGCAGGGCCAGGCCTCAACCCTCCCCAAAGGCCCCAGTAGAGGGAGTTTGAGGGAGAGAAAAGGGAGGTCTCTCAGGCTGAGCTGACCATGCAGAGCTCCTCTGGATAGCAGGGCTCCCTAGATCAGACACTACCCCGCCAAGTGTTTTTCTTCCCTACTCAAGGACGTAAACACTCTGGGAGAGCTGGTAGCTCTGGAGTAGGCGTGGGCTGGCTCAGCCCTCGGGGGTGGCTGCATCCAGGCTGAACAAAGACCCCTTTGAGCTCTGGTGCTAGCAAGAACTCCTTCCACCTGCAGCAACCTCAGAAATCCCAGGGTCCTCCCAACCAGGTGGCACTGGGAGAGCCAGATCAAGGTTGGCCCTGTCTCCCACCCTCAGCCTCTAAGATGCTGCCCACTGCCCAGTTCTGTCACTAGAGCCCGGACCTGGTCAGCCAAGCCCTTAGCCGCTTGGATGACTGCATCACCCCTGGTTAATGGGCCCCGGTCTCCCTTTCCCCAGCTCCCACCAGGTCTCAGCTCTCTCCACACACCGGAAGGGCCCAGCTCCTCATGGCGGTGGGATTCAGAGCAAGGTGCTTGGCTGTCCCTACTTGGCGGGGTGGGTGGGTGGGGAGGGGGTGCTGATGAACTGCCCCTCCCAGGTCTGCCTGGGCTCTGCTCTGCTAACTGGCTTCTGTCCGCGATGAAGACCCCCACCCTCATCGCCCCGCACCTCTCCTCCCTGAGCCGGGTCTGCACCCACAGGGAGAGCAGAGCCCCTCCCGATGTCGACACTGTGTGCTCTCCATTCTTCCCGTGCTGCTGCCTGTTAGTCATCTCTCATCCCCAGGGCCTCACGCAGCTCCAGGCATGCAGTAAGTGCTCAATAACTGTTCACTGACTAAACAAATGCTCCCTGCAAAAGGGCTCCTCAGTGTCCGCAAGCAGTGAGGCCCTTGGGGCACAGGTCCACGATCTGGAGTGACAGCAACTCACTCAGCTGTGCTGCTAGCTCCACCCTGGTCCTGAGTTTGTGCCTCTATAAAATGGCAGAGAATAGCCGGGCGCAGTGGCTCACCCGTATAATCCTAGCACTCTGGGAGGCCGAGGAGGGAGGATTGCTCGAGGTCAGGAGTTCGAAACCAGCCTGAGCAAGAGTGAGACCCCGTCTCTACTATAAATAGAAAGAAATTAATTGGCCAACTAATATATATACAAAAAATTAGCCGGGCATGGTGGCGCATGCCTGTAGTCCCAGCTACTCGGGAGGCTGAGGCAGGAGGATTGCGTGAGCCCAGGAGTTGAGGTTGCTGTGAGCTAGGCTGACACCACGGCACTCACTCTAGCTTGGGCAACAAAGTGGGACTCTGTCTCAAAATAAATAAATAAATAAAATGGCAGGGAAATCTCCTCCCTGAACTCTGTCTCTAAATAAATAAATAAATAAAATGGCAGGGAAATCTCCTCCCTGAACTGCAGGTCTTCAGGGCCATGAGGTCATGGCCAGGTCTGGGGGGCCAGTATCACATCTCCTGCTGGCACCACTTGAGAGCTGAGTTAGCCTTCACATCCCACCATGTCCCTTGAAGGATACCTCTAAGTGCATCTGCCCGTGGGAAAAGGAGACAGGGGCACCACTGGGCCCCAATTGTATCCACAACGTGCCACACTTGCCCTGCGAGTCTGAATCCTTGCTCTGGGACCACAGCCCAGAGCAAGGCCCTCCTTACGCCTGGGCCACACCCAGTGGCTCCCCCCCACCAGTCTAGGCCCAGGGGCACTCCCCCAGCTCAGGCCCAGCCATGTTCCCAGGCTCCCTCTCCCTCTTCTCCTCCCTCCACCAGAAGTTTGAGGCCAGCAGCTGCTGCGCCCCTCCTGCCCAGCTCAAAGGACTACAGAGTGAGAACAGTCACCAGGGAGACAGACAGAGACAAACAGCCGAAACTGGAAAGCTTCACTCCTGGGGATATCCAGGATTTTCTACAAAGCCCAGGCTGCACCAGAAAGCAGGCAGTTGGTTCTGCAGAGAGTGCCCTGCTGGCTGCTGGCCTCATCCCGCAGCGCCCGGCGCTATAGCAGCATCCATTGGAGCTGGCCCCTGGGCCTGGTTATAGACCACTTTTTCTTGGCAGGCCACTTGGGGCTTGGCCATTTCCAGACAAGAAGCGGGTCATTCAAGTCTAAAAACAGACTCACATTCATTAAGGAACAGAGCACCCCTGTGCTTCTGGTGGCCACCCTCTGGCCAGGCCTGCTGAGGGGAGGAGGGGAGGCCCATAGACAGCCGTAGCCACGCAGACATCCCTACTTGGGGCTGCCAGGGGGTGTGGCTACTCGGGGGACAAGTCAGCTCTGTGCATCCATGGATACGGCCCAGATACCCAACCACCCTGGGATACCCACCTCAGAGTCAGTCTGGCTTTGTGGACCGACCAGGCTCTTCTTAGGACCACAGGCAAGTCTGAAGCGTCTCGGGGTCCTGAAAGGGCCTGTGGGTGGGTGGGAGGATATGGAGGCAGGCCTGGAACTACTTCTCACTGCGCAGGGGCCTTTAGTAGGCCACTGTCACTTTCTGGGCCCCAGTTACTCCCCGGCAAAGGGACAAGCAAGTCACAACCCAGGAGGGAAAAAAATGCTGTCTGAGGGAAAACGCAGAGGCCAGAAACTGGGCGATTGCAGGTGGCCACTGGCCGTCTGTGGTCAGAGCGCCCGTAGCCCAGGGGAGGCTGGCAGGAGCTCGGGCCTCACAGGGCTGCGGCTTCTCGGCCGTCCCTCTGCAAAGGCCGGTGAATGCCCGCTGTTCTCTCGGCCCTTGTAAGTGCTGTGTGTGCCAGGAGGGGCGAGGCAAGGCACCGTCCCCAAAACGCCTGGTGGGAGAGGCAGACATGAACAAATATTTACATAAACCAAGACAGAATTATAACTGTGTTGCAGCTATAAAGGAAAAGCACAGGGTCCCCGGAGGACGTCCACCACAGAGTCCTGCCGCGACCACCGAGAGGCGGGAAGGCTTTCTGAAAGCAGCAGCAGCGTAGGAGCTGACAGCTGACAGATGCTAACCAGCTGGAGAGGGGCCTAGCTGGGGGAGTCACAGTGAAGGGGGTCAGACACACAAAGGCCCTGAGGCCAGAGGTGTGCAGCACGTAGAAGGGAAATAAATAGAGCCTCTGGCTCTGGAGAGTAGAAGTGAGCCATGAAGTGTGAGCAAGAGGCTGGACAGGTGGCAGAGCCAGATCATGCAGGGCCCCGCGGACAGCAGCAACAGTTTTGACTATTATCTTGAAGGCAATGGAGAACCAACAGAGGGATTTAAACAGGGTAGTGTCCACCAATTTCTGTGCTAGAAAGATCACACATTAGTTGGGCATGGTGGTGTGTCTATAGTTCCAGCTACTCAAAAATAAATAAATAAAAATTAAATTTAAAAAAAAGATCACACAGATTTGCTTCAAGTAATCCAATGGAAATAGGGTAGAGGCAGCGGAGGGTGAATACTGACTGAAATAGAAATGACCCTGTGTATTGTAGCTGGGTGACGGATACAGGGGATCCACCGCACAACTCTCTCACCCTTTGTGTGTGTGTAAAATTTTCCATGGAGACAGATCAGTCAGGAGGCTGCAGCTCAGCAGAGAGAGGATGTCCTGGACTTGGCAGTAGTGGTGATGGAGGGCCAGAGATGGATGCAGAATATGTGCTTCCAAATAGAACCGACCTGATGTGGTCATCAACTGGATGTAGGGGGCAAGGAAGGTGGGGATTGTGATTCTAGGTTTCTGGCTTAAGTAAGCAGGATATCAGGCTGTTTTGCTGAAACAAAATAAGGAAAAACATACTGGAAGAAGAGCATATTTGGAGGAAACAATCATGAGCTCAGTCTTTTTTTTTTTTTTTCTTTCTTTTTTTTTTGGAGAAAGAGTCTCACTCTTTTGCCCAGGCTAGAGTGCAGTGGCATCATCATAGCTCACAGCAACCTCAAATTCCTGGGCTCAAGTGATTCCCCTGGCTCAGTCTCCCAAGTAGCTGGGACTACAGGTGCATACCACCATGCTCAGCTAATTTTTCTATTTTTTGTACAGATGGGGTCTTGCTCTTGCTCAGGCTGGTCTTAAACTCCTGATCTCAAGTGATCCTCCGGCCTCTGCCTCCCAGAGTGCTATTAACAGAATTACTGATGTGAGCCACCTTGCCCAACCATGAGTTCAGTCTTGAACATGTCTGGGAGATAAGCTATACTTGTATATGACTAAGCAGCTCAGAAGAAAGGTCTAGGCTGGAGGGATAAATTTCTGAGTCATGGCCCACAAATGAGAACAGGAGCTAATAAGATCCCCCAGGGAAAGTGAGTACACAAAGAATAGAAGCTATCAACATGAATGTCAACACCTATGGGGAAAAGAATAGTCTTTTCAACACATGATGTTGAGCAACTGAAATTCCACATGCAAAAAAATAAAGTTGGATCCTTATCTCACACTGTACACAAAAATTAACTCACAATTGTCAGAGCTAAAACTATAAAACTCTTAGAAGAAAACATAGGTGTAAATCTTTATGACCAATTAGCCAATGGTCTCTTAGATATGATATCAAAAGTACAAGAAACAAAAAGAAAAAAAATAAAAAAATAAAATAAAATAAAATGTACAAGAAACAGAAGAACAAGATAAATCGGAACTCATCAAAGTTAGAAATTTGTGCTGTTAATGACACCAGGAAAGACAATCCACAGATTGGGAGAAACTATTTGCAAATCATATGACTGATTTGCAAATCATAAGGAATTAGTATTCAGAATATACAGAGAACTCTTACAATTTTGAGGACATTATAGTAAGTAAAATAAGCCTCACAAAAAGACAAATACTACATGAATCCACTTTTTCCCCCTAGAAACAGGGTCTCACTCTGTCGAAGGATCATAATAGCTCACTACAACCTGGGACTCCTGAGCTCAAATGACTCTCCCGGTTTGGACTCCTAAAGTGCTGAGATTACAGGCAGGAGCCACTGCACCCAGCCTGAGTCCACCTTTATGAGGTATCTAAAGTAATCAAATTCACAGAAACAGAAAGAATGGTGGGTGCCAGGGGCTGAAGGGAGAGGAAAATGGGGAGTTGTTTAATCAACATAGTGTTTCAGTTTTGCAAGATGTAAAAGTTCTAGGAATTGATTACACAACAATGTCAACATACTTAACATTAATAACTCTTTACTTAAAAATGGTTATGCTGCGCTGGTAAATTTTATGGTATGTGGGTTTGTTTTTTTTACCACAATTAAAATTTTTTTTTTTTTTAGACAGAGCCTCACTTTGTTGCCCAGGCTAGAGTGAGTGCCGTGGCATCAGCCTAGCTCACAGCAACCTCAAACTCCTGGGCTCAAGTGATCCTCCTGCCTCAGCCTCCTGAGTAGCTGGGACTACAGGCATGGGCCACCATGTCAGGCTAATTTTTTCTATATATATTAGTTGGCCAATTAATTTCTATTTATAGTAGAGACGGGGTCTTGCTCTTGTTCAGGCTAGTTTTGAACTCCTGACCTTGAGCAATCCGCCCACCTCGGCCTCCCAGAGAGCTAGGATTACAGGCGTGAGCCACCGCGCCCGGCCTCACAATTAAAAAATTTTAAGACAATTCTTACAGTTCAACAATAAAAAAGACAAATAACCCAATTAAAAATTTAAAATGGGGAAATATTTGAATAAACATTTCTCTAAAGAAGACATTAAATGGCCAAGAGGCACATGAGAAGACGCTCAACATCATTAGTCATCAGGGAATGTAAATCAAAACCACAATGAGAGACCCCTTCACACACTGGGGGGCCGTGATGGGCGCAGGTGCTGGTGAGGATGTGGGACGCGGGGGGCCTCACACTGCTGGTGGGAATGTGCATGGCGAGCCGCCTTGGAAAGCAGTTTGGTGGCTCTCCAAATGGTTAAACGTAGAGTCACTCTACTACCCAGCAATTACACTCCTAAGTATATATCCAAGAGAACTGAAGAGGCATGTTCACACAAAATCTTGTACATACATGAATACTCACAGCAGCGTTTTTCATAATAGCCAAAAAATCTCAACAACTCAAGCACCCATGGACTGACAAATGGATAAACAAAAGGTGGTGTATCTAGACAATGGAATCTAATTCAGCCATAAAAGGAATGAAGCACTGGCACAGGCCACCACACGAATGAACCTTAAAAGCCTGATGCTAAGAGAAAGAAGCCAGCCGCATCATACGGCTCCTTCCGAAGTGGGCAAGTCCGTGTAGACGGAGTAGCTTAGTAGCTGTCTGGGGCTAGGGGAAGGGGGCAACGAGGAGTGGCTTCTAATGGTATCTAGAGTTTCTCTTTGGGATGATGAAGATGCTCTGAAATTAGATAGTGATGACGGCTGCACAGTCAGTAAACACACGCACCCGCGGAGCTGCACACTTCGGAGGGGAGTGTGCGTGTGGGCACCACGCCTGGGAGAAGCCAGGAGGGCGCGCGGGCGAAGCGGGAGGGTCTGGGCAGAACCACAGGCTTAAAGACGTGCGGAGTCCCGGGAACAGGAGCGCGGCCGAACCGCAGAAAGAAACCCGGCGCGGGAGCGGGGCAGGAAGGGGACGCGGCGAAGCTCACGGGGCGGCCGGAGCGCGGGCCTGGAGGCGCCCGGCCGCCGCCCTCGCGGAGCAGTACCTGTGGCCGGGGCGCCGGAGCGCGGGCCCTGCTGTCCTTCCTCTCTCCCGGGCCGCCTGCACCCCAGGGAGGGACAGTGAGGACAGGCCACCGTCCACAGGGAGGACGCTGCCGAGCGCAGGAACCGGGTCACAAGCCAGCTCGGCCCGCGCGACCTGGGGTCCGGCCTCCCCGGATCCCGCGGCCCCGGCGAGGCGGGCAGGCGGGGCTGCGCGTGCGGTGCTGGCGCCCCGGGCACGTCTGCGGTCGGCGGGGCGCAGGACGCCGGCCCTCGGCCCCACTGCGCGGCCACCACTCCCACACCGGCCTCGCCCGCCGCTCCTCCGCCGCCCACAAACTATTTCTGCCGCCGCGGGCCGGCTGGGAGGCCGGGAGGCCGGAGGCTGGAGGCCGCGCCGGAGTGCCAGTGCCAGCCACGCTGGGCGCTGGTGGCGGAGTGGCGCGGCGGGGTGGCGGGGTGGCGTGCGGGGTGGCCGGCCCCAGCCGACCGCCCCAGGGCCTGGGGCCCGCGGGGAACTGCGGGGGCCCGCAGCCGCACCGCCTGCCACCCCGCGGGAAGGGCCCGGCGCCCCACGGAGCTGCCCGCTGTGCGCCCGGCAGGGCCGGCTCCGCGCTCCGCTCCGCCGCAGGCTCCCGCGGAGGTCCGCATTCCTGACCTACGTCCAGGCGGGAGCAGCTGGCTGGGTCCTGGGACCGCTTCCTCCAGGAAGCGCCCCGGACTGCCTAACTGACGGCGACCCGGAGGAATGCCTGCTCCCGCCACGATTATTCAACATTTCCTGGAGGTTCTAGCCGTCGCACAAA